TTTTATTGAACTGTTGAAAAATGTTCAAAACCACTTACAGCTGGGGAGATTGATTGATTTTTGAAGTCCACAGTTTGTTAGTGGATGAAAAGCATTGTACAGCGGAGAGATATAAAACCAAAAGATTGTTGTAAAAGAACAACATTGAATCCAAAAAAAGCCAAAGTATATAATATATATTGGAATGTGGTTAGTTGTAAAAAGTTTACATTGCACTAAAATCTTTATTATCACTAAGTAATAATAAGTTTTTCTATTTTTGTAATGAAAATACTTTTTTTTGTAAGAAATACAAAAAGTTTTATATTAATGACGATAGGGTCGACGAAAAAGATTAGGAAAAGCGTTAATCAAAATTTTCTTGATCTTTTTTATTTTCACATTTTTAAGCTCTGATTACAGTTCAAAAAGAAAACAAATTGGCGGACAGCAGGATAATTTTTGTAGAAACTTTATAATATTTTTTGAGAAGAAAGTGTAAAGAATTGATCATATTATAATGAAAAAGAGAAAAAGAGCGTTTAGGGGAAACTGTGTGTTACATAGGATGAAATAAGTTTGCTGTTACAGACCAGTCTGTTCTGGAATTGGTCACTGATTTGAGCTCATATGAGATACATTGAGTTTAAATTCAAATAAAGAAGATCAACCACAGTGGCAGAATGGAGGATTTTGACTGTATAGCATTAAGTGTTAACAGTCACCTTCATTAAAAAAAATTGCTTCTTCTAAAGGCTGAATAAATTATAATAGGTTTCAGAGAGCAAAATTTAGGAGTCAAGGAGTCTTTTAATGGATCAATGAATGAAGTGAGCAGTTTTACTACTGTTATCTTTCTAGGATTTAATCTGTAGATATTAACAAATAATATGATGGTGAAGATGATGGTGACAAAGACGATTAATTGAACTGTATATCAACTGATAGCATAGCATTTTTTTTTGCTGCTGTTTATTAAAGTAGAAAAAAAAAATTTTTTTTTTTTTATTTCTAGAAATAATTGGTTTTCTTACCAGCAATTCATTTTGTAACCAATTTTATTTCATTTTGCAGACATTTCAGCAGTCATCAATAACTATTTACCACCGCCGTTTAAAGCTATATGTATTTTGAAAAAAAAAAAGGATCTACTTTTGTTTTTCTACTAAATGAAACGAAAGAAAAATCAGAAGAACGAGAAGATAAAAGCAGAAAAAAATTGGGTGCAAAAAAAAATACACCTAATTGTTCATATTATACTGGATGGTAGTTTGCTTTTGTTTGTATAAGGTTTTAATAATCATTTTAGATCCATTTTTTTGCTTTGTTTTTTTAGTTTATCTTTAACTGCCTTTAATAATTGAAAGATGCTGAGAAAAAAAAAAAGCAATTTCTATAATAGTTATGTTTGACATTATTCGGTTGTTATTGTGGGAAGTCGAGATGGATGGCTGTGAGATGGAGGGATGAGAGAGGACAGGTTCAATAGATGTTAATTAAAATAAAATTCAAATTATTTTTTTCAACAAATTAACCAAGCAAAACAAAAGGAAGACTGCACAATAATAAAACAGAAAAAAAGAGTAAATTTTTTTAACAAAAAAAAACAAGTTGAAAGCTAAAAGCTAGAAGGCAGAATTTAGCCTAACGGATTAAAAAGTTGACAGATGTAAAAGCACCTCTGTTCCTTATACAATTCTATCAACTTTTTTTTTGTTTTCTGTTACCCACCATTCTTAGTTACTCACCATTTGGCTTTTTATCACAAATTAACCTTATGGACTTTCGGTTCAAAATTTTTCTTATATACGGCGTTTGACTCCAAAAAAAAAGGAATTTTTTTGTATATTACCTTTCTTTTTTTTTCATTTTTTTGTGGTTGTAAAAACAGTTAGTGAAAGTAGGACTAGTTTTTTTCTTTTTTTTTTTTTTCTGCTTCGAACATAACTGGTGATACGGTAGTGCAGTTAAAATAAGATGAAGTTTGAAATGTGGTAACGGGAATAGAATGAGAAGACTAAAAAAAATTTTTATGATATTGGGAATTGTAGGAAACTAATTAAAAAAAGAAAACTAAACAGCTACGTGAATTGAAATTTTATAGAGATGATGACGATGTAGATGACAAAGATGATGAACAGCGATGGCGATGATGATGGAGAAAGTTTTAGGGAATGCAAAGAAGGGAGATACAGCAGAAACGATAATGTTGGAAAAGGGATAAAAAAAATTGGAGGAATAATTACTGTAAACGTTTAATTTGTTTTTTTGTTCGGCTGTCGGTTATTGCTGTTGATTAGCTGTTGTTTGGCGTTGATTTGTGGTAATGGTTGTGTATAGATAAATAGACAGGTAGATAAGTAGATAGATAGACAGACAGTCAGTTAGTCAGTTTGCTAGGTAGATAGATAGATAGATAGATAGATAGATAGATAGATAGATAGGTGGATAGATAGACAGATAGATGGATGCTGTGTTAATGGTGCCAGATGTTTGCAATATTCAGAAAATTGAATCAACGGTCAGGCAGAAAAAAATTTTTCGCTTACTTTTTTCTTTTTTTTTTTTTTTT